CGACGGCAGCTGCCCCCAGCCCCCAGCGACTTCAGACACCGCAGCTCTCGCTGCAAGTTCTTATTAAGAAAAAACAAGGCTTGTCCTAACTGGAGTTCATGCCTGCTTCACATTTCATTATCAAGATGACGCCAAGGCTAAGGGATGCCACGAAAGGCGGTGTATCCTAACGTGTGCTCTGCACTGCTCCCCACCTGAGCTGCAAGCGGGGGCCTGGCAGAATGAGCTCCCACTCTTTCTGCCCTTTCTTAGCAGCAGGAGCCTGGCTCCAGTGGGAACGGCGTCCTCCCTGCCAGAGCCTCTCCGAGGCAGAGCTCTCATTCTTCCCGTCATCACAGACTGACAGCTATCTCTTGACGCCCGTCTCGGATTCAGAAGGTCTGACTGCAAACCCATCATTTAAACCACTTTCTCATTAAGATAGAAGACAAAACAAAAAAAAAAGCAGAACCCCTACGAAAAAACTGCCTTCTGTTTCCTCAATAAACTCTGACCCCGCTCAGGAAAGCAGACGCTTCAGGGCTTTGATTAGCAGGGATCAGGCCAAGCAGATATTGAAGTGGCTTCCTGAATCCTGCCCTGCACCAGGACGCAGGTTTTGTCACGCAGATCATCTGTTCTGCCCTGCTTTCTCTCTCTCTCAAAAGGAGGTTCAAGAAACTTCACGTAAGTCAGCTCTTGGTGACCTCAGGTTGTTAAAAAAAATGAAAAACTATGAAACACTGAGAAAAACCACCCCTGTCCCCTTGCAAGCAGCTCTGTGCAAATGGAGCACCAAGCTCGGCACTCAGAGGAGCTGCTGACGTACCTGGCGACAGGCAGATCCTTCTCTGCTCACCTCTTCCCCCTGAGCCTTACCTGTACAGGTAGGTCGAGGTTTGTTCCATGTGGGTTTTCCATCCCCTCCCATTATGCACGTCAGCGTGGAGACCCCGTCAATGTCGTACCCTCCGTCACAGTAGTAGGTGACCGTAGATCCCAGCTTCAGATCCGTACCCACTCGTGTGCCATTCTTAATCGATCCAGGATCGAAGCACGACTCCCGGGGATTTTCTGCAAGAGAAAATTGCCAAGATCTCTACCGGTCTGATACAGCTACTCTAAAATTCTGGTCAATGGCATCTTTTTTAGCTTTTCTCATCTGGGAATCTCACTTCAGCATATCATAAGGACTAGTAACGTTTGCAGAGCTTAGGTTGTGAGCATTCTCTCATGCTGCTGAATCTGGGAATTATACAGGTCAGATCCTGGTCCAGAACATTCTCCGATGCTCGTGTCCAGCACAAGTGTACTGGAAGAAGGAAGGTTTCAGTTCACACACGCATTTACTGGTACCCAAAATCCAATCAACGAGGCAAAGCTTTGATTGAACTATCTACGCTCGCTCTCCTTCCTCGTGCGGGGGACAGGCTGCACGCAGCGTTGCAGACCAGGGCATCCAAACGCAGACCCAACATGCAGTGTATTTCAGATGTGCTTCATCTGTCCACGCTATCTCCTTGGCACCCATCAGGCCTCTGTCGAAGAGCTGCCTGCTCTCGCCATGGAAATGCAGTGCCATGTGCTAGCTGCTTGACTCTCCAGATGTGCAGCATGGCTGCAATTATGGCAAAATGATTACAAGCAGTTAGACAAAATGAAGACATTTTTCTCTCTGTTCACTATGCCCTGCAGAGTTAAAAAGCCCATTTACATATGAAAACTCCAGTAAAGACTACAGAGCTGTCAGGACTTGGGTATTTCTTTCCTCCTTCTTCTGAGGGCTTTTTTCTTTTTTTTTTTTCTTCTTTTTTTTTCCTGCATGAAATATAATTAGAGGCTTTGATTAATCCTGCTCTTTTGTCATTTGGAAATTGCTCATTAAAGATGAGGGCTTTTCTGAGAGCAGTGAGTCTGTGAACAATTATAATGTGTTTAAGCATTAAATCATGGGCTTTTAGTATTTGAGGAAGAGGTGGAGGCAGAGGCAGAAAACAGTAAAGCCCCCAGATCTTGCTTTTGTTTCTTTGTTTGCAGTAAAAAATAGGATTAGCTCTATGGCTTCCTCTAAACAGCAGCTGTACCACTAGCTAGCGAGCCAGGTAAACAGGGCACAAGAGGACGTGAAACGCTTCCACCAGGAACAGCTGCCCTGAACCGCAGAAGCGAGGCCACTGGTTTTTCCTGGAACACCAGTTCCCTACGCTGGGAGCCACAGGCTGGTCAACCTCAATGCTCCTCACAGGCCATCACACACACGTATCGTCAAACTTCAGATCACCAAGCCACGAGTTCTCCTCTGTGTTAACGGTGCTTTCCTGCACAAACTTTGGCCAAGCCATTTTTCCTTCGAGCAACCCAGTTCCTCAAGCAAATAACAAGGTGTTCCAGTTTACTGGATCCTGGGAAGAGACACACGTGTGCCTAGAAGCATGATTACCGCCGCGTCCCACAGAGAGCTCTGATGCTCAAAACGTGATGGAGAACACTGGGGTTCTAAGATAAAAGAACTCCACAAATGTTTTTCTCCCCTTATTTCCTGTGCGGGATCTGACGGCAGGTCCTGCTGAGACCCCAGCCAGACACAACACAGAAATCCCGATTCTGGTGAGACATCAGGACCAAACAGCTTGTTTCAGTCACAGCTCTGGAAAGCAAAGCCCTTAGCTCTCTGGTCAGCTCAGATGAACGCATTCCCTCCTCGCTCACGCTTACGAGATGTCAGCCGTAGCTGGAGAAGCGAGCCTTTACCATTACCGCAAGCCAGTGGGACACTCCTGTCCACACCGGTCATCGCAGGCCACCGAGATGGCAAATTGCTCCTGGGCATCAGCCAGCCAGGGCACTGGGGATGAGCAGCGCAGCTGCACGGCCCAGAGCCCATGGCAGCACACACGCCATCTGTAAGTGTAAATTCTTCATCTGCTTTTCCAAAATATTTTTTCACTCCGCAAGCCCTTATTTCTCCGAATTGCTAATATTCTCTTGCAGACCCTTTCATACAAAAGCTGCACCCAGCGGCTTCCTTCTGACCACTTTTTGCCTCTCTTGTTATTTTGAACAGTCTCGCTGCCTTTCATCTCACAACTTGATGTGGCTTCAACCTGTCCATCAGCCTCCCACCCGGCTGTCAGACGTCTCAGCCCTCTGCTTGATCTCAGCCTCTGCTCTTGCTTTGAAAAATCATGACACTCAGTGCTCAAGTCACCCTGTCAACTGCTGAAAAAAGGGTGGTGGCTGAGCGCTGAGCAACAGCCTCACTGCTTTTGCTGTGTTTTCCTCACTCTCAACTGCTTCTCTGTTCCCTCGGGTGTCTGTGCCTCCAGGGACACCGCTCGCCTTCGTGGGTGCTGCACCCTGACACACCAGCCCCACGCGGATCTCCAGCTGAACGCTCCTCTGCAGAGGAGCTGCCCCAATGGTCCTCAGCAGGAGGCTGCAAAGGGAGGCAGAAGCTCACCTTCAGGGAAGTATTTGGTTGCGTGAGGACAGCAAAAGACTCGTAGAAGGATGTGGGAAAGCCACAGCTTTCCCAGCCTTTGATTTATTAGGCTATGAAGCGAGTACAGCACTGCTTGTCCATTTAAAGTTAACTTTCTATTTTCACTCAGAGACTTCCGAAATCAAGGACTTTACCCTGCTGTCTCAATTAACATGGGTTCAGGCTGCCAATGTTTAGGAAAGAGTCAAGACAAAAATGTCATGAGAACTGGCTCATTAGTCCCCGGAAAGCAGAAATGTTCTGTGCTTCCCCTCTCCTTTCCCAAGGCAAGCTCAGAGCCTGCGTGAGCCCCCAGACCAGGAGGTCAGGCTTTCATCTGCGTGTTCGAGCACGGCTTCACCGGGGAGCAGATTTCCACCCCACGCGTCACGAACTCCACATCTGCGAACGTGCAAGCCTTTAGTAAGAGCCAAGCTTTAAAGCAACCCCAGGAGAAGCTGTCCAGCAGCCAGGGGTTTTTTATTCACTCCTCCCAGCCAAATGGGCTCCCTTCTCCAAAGGGCAGCTCTGCTTTCCAAATGCAAGCTGTTTTAGGGTCGAGCGTCATCCCCCATTTCTGACTGTTTCAACAGCAAACAGTACTGGGTGTTCTTAAACAGCTTGCTTTGCAGTGGATTTTACAGAACAGTGTTTCTGTGAGAAATTTCCACATTAAATAACCCATAAATAATGCTGAATGTATGTTTATAAGCTCAGGATGGGCAAAATAGTTCTGGCAAAATAATAACAGATTTGAAATGAGGCTTGGGTTTGGGTTTTTTTGTTCCTTTGGAAAGGTGAAAAGTAATCAGTTTTGCTTCATTTGCTTTCAATTTCACGCCTCTCCACTGCTGACCCACAGCAGAAACAGAAGTACCGAAAAGTGCGAGACACCCTCCCCTGCCTCAGAGCACCCAACGTGGCAACTCCTCCCGGTGCCCCGCGCCCCGTCCCGCACCAGCCCTGCCGCGTGAGCTGCTCGGAGGGAGGCGGTGACCGACGGAGCTCGACCCGCTTCTGCGGTCCCCAACACCCACAGAATACAGAGCTGGGGGGATAATTTGGGAAAATTATCTCCAAATGACCAGCCTGCCCTTTGCATTACTAACGAAGCGTGGTCTCAATTTAAAAATCTCGGTGTATGAATACATGAAATGTATCTTAATAAAATTTGCGGTTTGCAAGATGCTGCAATGCAAGCTGATTATTAGAATTCAGTTCATTTCCCAACAAGAAAAGATGATCTTCACTTTAGAGATTCACCCCCAGCCACATGTAAAACAGTCTCTGGCAGCACTTTCTGGCAGTGGCAGCTTAAGGGCGGACCCTCATACCAAGGGGTCTTTTAAATCGATTGGAAACAGTTTGGGAAACTTTTCCAGTGGTGTTCTGTAACCAGGAATCTCCCAAGCATAACTAAGACACACAAATATTATCTTGGTTCAAAACATAATACATGTAGAGATACCGAGTCACAAACCTCAGTTTTCAGTAGATGAGACACTAAAAAAAATTCTTAAGCAACAGCTAGAAGAAGGGACAAATTCTAGGTAGACTGCAAGCCATCTTTCCGGTGTTTGAGCTTTTGGTTTGTAACTGTCTTTCCTATTTTGTACTCAGGAATTTACCGTTTTGCTTTGGCAGACTGATGCTTGTAGGGCTCCGGTGAACCTGCTACCAACACAGCACGCAGCTCGCACAGCAACGACGGCGCTCACTAAGCTGGCGCTGCGGACAAGCACGTTCTCAAGGATTGCAACCACTCCAACAGACCTCAGACGGGATGCCTGAGCACAGCACGTCTCCCTTTTCCGAGACCTAGCCTGAACCCAAAATCTATTCCCTACCACTCAGTCATCGCAAAGAAGAAATTCATCCCCAGCTGAAATCCAAACTACTGCACTTCAGCGTCCGCTGACCCTGGGAACCAACCCCAGGCTTCACGCAGACAGTGACACAAACCTCTGTAAATTTAAGTGTACGTGGGCAAAGTCCACTCGCGGTTTCTTTGCTGGCAACCTTTGCTTGATTTTTCATTCTGCTGCACAGCTGAGAGTGCATCACGGGTGCGAAGCCAAAGCCACGTGCCCCCCTATCAGAAACCCTGCCGGGGTGCTGTATCAGTGTGGCTGAACTGGGAAACTGCCTGCCTGAAGATCTGCCCTCAAACACCTTTCCCTGGCCCTGCTGCATCCCCACTTCACCGGCACTGTCACGCTCTATGCAAAAACTGCCATAATAAAAGCCAAATTCCTTCTCCTTCTCTCCCCGCTCTCTCCACTCCTCCTGGCCCCAGAGGACAGCTTTCTCTTGAAGAGCCGCTGCCCCTGAAACAATTTCCGATGAAGCGCGGAGGCTGTTTGAAATTCACCCGACGCTCCGTAGCTGCGGGCTAGCGATACAGTCCCAGTCCCAGGGAAGATGCAGGGTTTCAAGGAGGGACTGACAGATGGCTGCTGATTCTTTTCTCCCCCAAACACAACCAAAAGAGGACTACAAAGCCCCTGGCAATTACGAGTACTTCGCAGGCAGCTGGCACAGGTGATGTCCGGTATTTGGGGAGCGGCAGGGGCAGCAGCCTCTGTGGGCTGCGGCACTGACCCAACACCACGAGACGGCCGAGAGCAGACGGTGTCTTTGAACTGTACTTGGGATTCCACGCTGGCAAGGAGCCGAGCTCGCTATTTGATGTTCTTGCACACATGCTCTCTCCTGCATCTCTCTTCTTCTTCCTTCGATTCCCCAAAGTTCTATTTTCTGCTGCTTCTCAGACTTGAATCCCAGGTTCCTTTTAAAGTGTGGAGAAATTAATGAGCAAACTCAAAGCCTCATTCTTTTCTCCCAGCAGTTTGGCTTTGTGGGAAGCATGTAGGCGCGATTAGCACTGTAGGAGTGTTTAGGAGAAAAACACATCGCACAATCGCCCTAATTTAATGAGATTTCGTTTGTTAACTACTTTCTGGTTGCCCAAAAAGAAAGTGGGAAAGAAGAAAACCTAAGACTTCATTTTTAGTAAAACTAATTCTAATGAGAGCAGAAAACTTTTAATCTCTTGAATCTTAGGCAGTGCTAACTGTCTTTGTCTTATTATTTCATAACTTTTACTAGAGGGAAATCCACCTGTTCAGCGTAACTAATAGGAATTGCCATTTCACTACCATGTAACCTCTGGTCAGGTAAATTTAAAAGCAGGAACCACAGACCAGAGACAGCGTACAGGAACAGAGAATTGCCCAGCCGCCCACAGAAAGCAGCAGCAGCCCTGAAACCACAGCAGCAGCCCCACCAACCCGAGCTGCTCCCGCTCCCCAGCACGCAGCTGGGCCAGCAAGACTCCACAGCCTGCCTCGCAGCGAACACCTCGGAGGCAAAGCCAAGCTCCGGTGGCACGCACCCAGTACATCCGAAGCCATCCATGCTTTTTTCCCCTACTGCAAACTAGTCCATACAGGCCAGAGCAGGCTTGAAGAATCGTTCCTTTCTAGTATTTATTTTTTTCCCCAGTTTTTAACTATCTTCTCCATTCTGCATAATGCTGGCTCATCAGATCAAGCTTTTCAGAGCGTATTTTTTTACTACGGTTTGTAACAACTCCATTCTTCCACCTACCCTACACACAAACACGGCAGACACTCTGCCAAAGCCTCCCTTTTCTTCCCCGGCTCCCTGAGCAGCAGTGCCAGGTCTGTCACTTCTCCGCTTGCTCCACCGACAGCAAGCAAAAAGCACCCAGGGAAAACTCCCACCACTGCTCCTGCCTCCCACCATCAGAGCTGAAGCCACCACAACGTTCTACTTCCTCCTCAAGCAAGGCAGGAAAAAAAAGGCGCTGCTCTAATCGCAGATACCTGTAAGCTATTCTGTTCATTTCACTAATTATTAGTGAATTTTTAAATAGATGCTTTAGAATCTTAAGTGAAGCAAAACGCACAGATTTCAGGAGAGCTCCATTGAGTCAAGAGAGCTGAGCATCCACCGCCATGCTCCTCGCCTCTAGACACAGCCACCCAAACAGATGGTACGCTCCTGAATGACAGCATCAGAAATTCCGACCACCATCTCGTATTGGACACGTATGTCTGCAACTCCTTTTCTCGGACAAAGCACTCCTGCCCCTAAGAATAAATCTTCAATCCATGGCAACGTGGAGCATTCCTAATAACCAGTTAACAGTTCAGGACACCAGTACTCTGAAAGCCCAGCTCTGCAATGAAGCAGCACGTTCTGCTCACTAAGACGACAGAACTATTTAAATTCAGTGAGGAGCAAGAAAGATTATGCAGAATACAGCCTGTATGTAAATATATGCTTTCGGGGAATCTCCCTCCCGTTTTCTTTAAAGAAAAAAAAAGTAAAAATTTTCTTCTCTGTTAATGAAAGCCCCAGGTGACAGATCCTCAGATACGTAACAGTCTTGTTATGCTGCTCTTATCTACACCTTACGTACCCCAGCTCTTCTGCCAGCCTACAGGACCCCCTCTCCAACTCCCAATTTTCCCTCCCATGGCTCTTAATCAGCTTCAGTGGTAGCGAAGCCGACAGCAGGGTCAATGCCCGCAGCGTGGTTTCCACAGTGCCTAGAGCTTCTCCCACTGGGTTCAGCCAGGTGGTTTAACCTGAGAACAAACACAGGTAAAATCCCAGGTATTTGCCAAGCCAGCGGGGCCAGGCGTGCCCCCGGCCAGCTCTTACCTGCGTAGTCAATGACAAACCCCGTGTTGCTGACTGACGCGTCGCTCCGGAAAGCAAGGAAGAGGCTGTTACTGCTGCTCTCTATCCTCTCGGGTAGCTGGGAACCGTAAAAGCTTCCGATCAGGGGGCTGAGTGAATCGGGTCCGTCGTAGATGTGGAGGAAATCATAGCCAGGCTCCAAACTGAAGCTGCAAAACCAAAGGAAGAGCTCTTGAAGTATGAGCACGCTACAGCAGCCCCTGGAGAACAATAGGCTGGGGTCTTGATGGGCTGTACAACCACCCAGCTGAGAGACTGCTGCGGCCCCACAGAGCTCCTCAGCCAAGCACAGGACATCCCAGTCTCCATTCCACACGTATGGACCCGAGGACTGGTGATGCAGTCTAGAGGACAACAGCATAAGCCAGTGTTGCTACAGGGGTTTCCTACGCTGCACCACTTACACGGTTCTCTTGTGTAAAAAAATGGGTGTATCAAAGAGGAGCTGCAGCTGAAGTATGTACGTCTTCCCCAAATTAAGGTAACGTCCGAGAAAAGACTTCCCAGGACTACGGGACAGTCCTACCAGGTTTGGTTTGGTTCCTTCAGAGAGGAGAGGACCCACATGCAGACCCAGCTCACCCAGACAGTGCCCCGCTGCTGGCATCCCCTCCCCATCCCCGCAGGCAGCCCCAGAAGCGAAATCAAAGAGCTCTCGGGTACGTACACGTTGAACATGAGGGCAATGACATAATCAGGAGAGACGGTCAGCTTCCAGTCACACTCCTTCCCCGGTGGGTAGGGCTCCGGGTACTGCGGGGACAAGATCACTCCCGCCGGTCCCGTCAAGATACCTCCGCAGGGAGCTGAAGGCAATCAAGCAAAGGGATGAGGCTTTCCCTCAGAGAAGCTTAAAGAGCAGATCAGATGCAGGAAGGGAGAAAGAGACACAGACACGGATAGATAAGGGGACAGAGAGGCAGCTGGCAAGGTTGCCTGATATTAAGATATGTATTGTCAGAGCTTGCAGTGGCCCTAACAGAGATGAGGGCTCCTACTCCAGACAGGGTACACACACAGAGCTATGGATGCTACCACAATCTTCATAAGATACACATGTGAGTGACCAGAAGGAGGGAGAGATGCTTTATGCTTTTCTGCTGCATTTATTTAGGCAACTCCTGGTCAAAGTCTGGACGGCTGCTAAATAAGTGCAAACATGTTGTCTGGGCCTAATGGCTCGTTCGTGTTTATTGCAGTCACCAACGCATTAAATGCCAAGTTGATTGAAAAATCAATTACTTCTTTAAGGCTGAAACTGCCTGCATATATGGCCACTATAGCAAATACTCATGACTGATTTATTACTGTCAGCCTTTCTGCAGTCTCTCCAGGAGGGTCGATACGCTAAGATTCCCCCCGTCGCTCAGCTCGATCCTCCCGGACCGGGGATGGGGCAGGAGGGGAGCACAGCCCGGGTTAAGCTCGGGTCTCTGACCCCAGCCAGCCGACAGCAACGCAGACGCCGGGAGGGAAACGAACCAGCACGGGACAGAAGTAACACATCTTGGAAGCATCTTCCAGGAAGGAGGGAGAACGTGTGTTTATCTTGTGAGTTTTTGTAAAGCCCTGCAACCACACGAGAATCTCCCGGCATCAGGTAAAACGTAGCGGGGCTGTTCTGTGAAGATCACAGTAGAGATTAAACCAGAGAGCCTTCTCCAAGGCCCAAAAGCATCTCCTTCAGCTGAGTCCAGCTGCAGGCTACTGCAGGCACTGAGCACTGTTATCCTTCTCAAATAGACATGGAAACCACAGCACAGACAGCGAAGAGTTTAGCTGAAGGTCATGCACAAATAACCTGGAAGATCCCCAAGCATCTATTCCGTGTCCATTTACCCTATCTTAACCATTCTGGTGTGTTCCTCTTCCAGACCGTAAAGTCAGGAAACAAAAGTATTTTTGAAAGCCTAAGGGAGATGACTGTTCAGCGCTCTCCGATTTCTTTGAAAATCCCACCCACAGTCTCCAAAGGATTTAAACTGGAAACTGGTCCAAGCCGTAGCTGTTTGGAGTTGGGTCAGGATACAGACTTCAAACGCCCCAAACCTCTGGGGGTTGTTTCAGCTCAGGTTCCAGCTCAGCCCACATTTCTTAGGGACTGCAGAAGTCGTACAATAAAGATGTGAAAATATATTTGAAATGCTAAACAAAACCATAAAATCCAAGCCCTAAATTAACCCCCATTTTCCAATTCAGGTCTAACTGGGCAGCCTGTTACACGGTTACTATAAAATTGACGTTATTTGACCACAGATTATTCCTCCAAATCCTTTGTCACTGAACAGAGGAAAGGAGCAAGACATTACTTCCAGCTTTGTCACAGAGCTTATGACTCCTGAAACAAAATTGCCAGACTTCTGTTCAAAAAGAACCCAACACAGCATCTCCAAGTCGACCCATGGGAATTCATCTCACTCCAAGATTAAGGCACCAGCCGCTTTCCTCTGAAAGGGACCGAGCGCCCAGCTTCTGGTGGGAAAGAAAACTCAACAGGAGACTGATGAGGTGGCCATGACACACAACAGTATGGCTTCGTTACAGCTTCAGGAAGACGAAAAGGACTGTCTCTATCAGGCTGCAAGGGTGCCACACTAGACCATGAAGATGGTCATTCAGAACCAAGTCATCCTGCAGGGAGCATGAATCCTGTGCACGCTGCAGAAGTTTCCTAGCTGGCATTAAATCAGATGTTAGAAACAGAATTAATTGATTTTTTCTTGCGTGGGATAACAGAGCATAAACAGGAATGAAGGTTACAGGTAAGTAATTTGTGGCTAGCATTTAACTGGCCAGCAAATTGCATGTTTATTGCTCTTATGTGCCTAGCACAACTACTTTTATGTGTTCAGGACATATTAAAAAGAATTACTTTTATGAGCTTCTTTTATTACTTTATGAGCTCAAACAAAATGTCAGATGGCTCTTTCTCATGACAGAATTTGCTGTCTCCTCATGCAGAAATTATTCACCCCTGACTCCAATCCTCTCTACCAACCTGAGTTTTAAAGCAGCCTTTAATTTTGACTTGTCAGGTTAAATGTCATCCCTTCCATTGCAGTATGTCCTCTGAGCTTCCAGCAGGAACTAGATTCTCACTGTCCCAGACACTCTGGGGATAAACCTCAAAAGTAGTTCTATGAGATGGCTACCCAAGACATACACACCCTGCCATCCACCCCTTCAAACCAGCTGGGACTTGTCCCCTTCAGGCAGAGAAACCTTGCAATGAAACAGGCCAGGGAAGCCAGTGCAACGCGAGGACGAATGCGTGTTCGTACCTGTGCACGAGGGAGGGCCTTGCAATGAAACACGCCAGGGAAGCCAGTGCAACGCGAGGACGGATGCGTGTTCGTACCTGTGCACGAGGGAGGGTCTGGCTGCCAGAAAAATCTGTTCTCGATCTGCACACAAGTGATTTTGGCCTCCCCTTGCAGAGCGTATCCTGGATTGCACTGGAAGACGATGGAGTCACCTGCCTCTTTGCTGTCACCACTCCGGCTCCCGTTCTGGGGAATTCCTGGGTCATTGCAGGAAGTGGCAGTAGAAACTGAAGAGTATTAAAAATACATATTTAATATATATTTAATGCAGGCTTACAGCACCAGCCGTGCTTAGACTCTGTCCTTAAACAGATACCCAAGCAATGACTTCATTCTCCATCCCTCCTCCTTCAGTATCCCTTAAAGTTGCCACATACACAAAAAATGGCTTTTGCTTTGCACTGAGCATCTGCCGCTCCAGCTGGGAAAGGCTCTGGGGAACGGCAAGTTCAAGTGCACTACACAGAGTGCAAGTTTGATGTATAATTGTGCACATGCCTGTTTACTTAATAAGTCCAGACAACTACTGATCTTACACGGCATTTTTATAGAAGTCTGTGTCAGACACATGCTGCAAACTAAACTAATCCGCTAGCACTTTTCACTTCCCCTGAGCGGCAGCGCAAAGTCGCCTTTAGCCCCGTGAAGCATCCAGCCTGACCTCTGAGCCACGCATGTGCCTCCCTCCCAGCCTCGCCGCTGCGTCCCTTTGAGCTACGAGATGACACCCACCCCCCCAGCTCCTCCTCGGCTTCACTGCCGGCTGAGCTCAAGGTCTGTCAACACTACAGCTACTTAACAGTACGGGAAGTCCTGGAGTAAGAGAAGTTTTGCACGCTTATATAGATCGTTAAAGTTCACAAGATCCCAAACTGTAGACTTCTGAGCGTAGGTCTGAGTACTTTGTCACACCTTGTGAACAAAGGCTTTGAGCAGAAGCATTCAGTAAAGCCCAGCTCCGTATCAAGCAGCGGAGCAGAGCTTATTTCCTGCTAAGTTGAAAAGAGTCTATTACACCTAGGCGGTTTAGAGAAAGCTCTTCTTGAAAGAGCCAGAGGAAATCCCTCTCCCTCTCTCTGTGCCACTGAAGATAAGCAAGTTCGCAGCCCAGTCTGGTCCTTCCCGGCAGGCTGAGACACAAACCTGGCAAAGACGGACGACGGCAGAGCTGTGCTGGGTGGCACAAAGCTCTCCTTCTGTCTTGGTCACCCCAGAAGGTCTTGTACCCAGCACAAACCCTTCCCAAGGAGCTGGCCTGCTCTCCTGGCTGTGCAAGGCATCCCAAACAGAAAGCTACGGGCAACAGCTTGGGAGAGACAGAGTGAGCTCTGCTGACTGGCCGTGCCTGAGTCCCAGGAAGGTTGTATCATCACTCACCCAGCAGCCTCCCTGTCTACTGCCATCTCCAAAACAGGCATCTGCTGGTTGTAACTGGCCGTGTCAGTGAAGGCTCGTATCCCTGAAACCTCTGTGTGAATGTCAAAATATATTACCCTAATGTAATTGAAATTAATGTGTTTGCAAGGCCAAGTCTCGCTGCCAGGACTTAGGCAATGACAGATTGCAGTTGTGTTACACGTAGAGCTGCTGCAAGCAATGACATCCCTACAGCCAACAGAGCTTTTTGTGATCTGCATCTCAGGGGATCCAATCTGAGGGATTTTTAAATAGACTCGGTTTTCAGAGACCCCTGACCAACTGCTCTCACAATGCCTGGGGGAAGCTGCCTCCATACCGGGGTCTCTGAGTGACCTGTGGGAAATGTGGTGGAAAATATCTGTAATTCCTTCTTGTGTATTCCACGATGTACTGCTCTACATCTCGCTGCCAAGTTCACCACCGCGAAGGTGACTGTAGCAGAGGGGAGCACAGAATTCACCTGCATTTCAAGGACAAATACAGGAATTCTTCTCTATTTGCAGAGACCACACCCAAAGGTGGTGGAGCAGAACAGCTGGCAGACTGCATCGTTCCTGCTCTCGTGTCCCATACAATGCCATTTGCTCACGACCAGTGTTTGCAGACAGACCTGAAATCACTCGTCAGCAAAGCCAGGTTTGGACAATGCTGAGGAAACCATTTACAGCCCACCTGAGAACTGCACAGCGAAGCCCTGCTTGCTTGTGAAGAAATCCGTGTTGAACTGAAGGATGACAGAGTTGAAAGTGCTGTGCACGTCGCCAGGCAAGCCGGACCCACTCATCTCCTTCAGGAGGATGCCGTTCTCCACCGGACCGTCCCAGATCCTCAGCACATCGTGGAACTCCTCGGTGTGGAAAACCATGAAATGGAGCCTGTGGGGCAAAATGGAGCAGAAGTCAGACCGCCAGCAGAGCTCTGCCTTTTTTCCTGACAGCATCAGAAATGTGATCGGTACCAATTTAAGGCAGCTTGGCCCACATGGCATCTGTTCTCTCCTGTTATCCGGAGCTCAGCTTGGACAAAGTGCTTTAGCCCTCTGCCAAACTTTACCTGTCCATAAAAGCCAAGATCTCTTAGTCACATGCCTCCCTAATAAAACACATCCATAAACAAAAAAAACCCGAGTCACGGATACTAATGCCTTCTGAGAAGTTGGGTCCTTTTTGCTGTTCTCTCCTGAGCAAGCAAAATTTCTAATCTCTCCTGAAAATCTCAAGAAACAAGGTAAAAGCCCAAAAGCTCACTGTGGGCAGTGGAAAAGTCCCCAGCCACAGTTGGGTTTACACCGACGGTGCTCAGACATTGCAACAAGTAGCTGTCACAGACAAAGGGCTCAGTCACGGGCAGAGAGGAAACCTGCAGCAGAGCGGTGCAGGGGCTGCGAAGGAGAGGATGGGGGTCTGTCCGGAGTGTCACTGAGCTTTATGACAGATGGACACAGAAGCATTGAGAAACTTCTACTAAACAGAGAATTAGCAGAAAATGCGCTGTGGTCCCTTCAGACAAATTACACATATTCACCCAATTCACACATTGTCCCTGTGTTGCACGCATCAACAACCTTGGCTGTCCTTTGGCTTTTTTCGGCGTCCTGCAAGGAACAGCTTCTTGTCGAGGGCCAGCAGCTACTGATAAAACGCATTGATTTTTGTTACCTGCGTTCGGATCAAAGAGTTTGCTCCCGGCACCAAGCTAATCTTGTGTATCAGGGGAAAAAACGGAATGGAAACAACCAATACCACTCTTATTAAAACAGCAACGTGCTGAAAAGAAACCATTAACGGGGTGTTAGCTGTCCCAGGGGTTAATAAACAGGGGCAGCAACGGGTGTGCGGGAGGGCGACAAACAGGTGGGTGCAAATTCGGGCTGCTGGACTCCAGCACCTCCGAGGGGGGAACTGGCTGGTACAGGAAAGGGTCTGGACACGTTTTACAAAGCTCTGCATATTGCCAAGCTGTATCTAGCTCAGCTAACAGAATAGCTTTGGAGAGAAATAAAGGAAAAGTGAGCAGCACGAGCCAGCTCTCCAAAACCCACAACAGGAAGGGAAGGAGGGGAAACAGAAGTTTAGCAACTGGCAATGAAACTGCACCGTGCTCTCAGCAAGGTATTTATTACGATGCTCTGAAGACAGATTTCCTTTCCTCACTCTGTGTATTTATAGTTTTGTCTGCCCTGGGGAAAGGGCTGCAAAGCCTTCAGTGCATGCAGCAAACGCTCCTCCGTCCTGAACTACCTGCAGCAGTGCTCCTTGGAGCTCATCTTCTGCTTTCCAACTAAAACGGGGCTGTGCCTCTTTGGCACTTCCACAGAAAATTCCCCAGGGAAAACCCAAGATGCTGGCAGGAGTCATCATGGTGAGGAAATTCACTCCAGACCCTGTCCCAGCGATGGACCCAAGGGGCTGGGAGAAGGCCAGAAGAGCCCTCCCATGCCTAGGACAGCCCTGCTGGCGCTCCGGACCGGACAAACTAGGTCCCCACACCAGCCCCTGGTGGGATGCTCGCCTCTTCTCACCCTGGACTAGGGGAATATTGTCTGATATTCTCACGATGAAGATCATGAGAACCGAGTCTCTCCCCACCAAACCAACCCCTGTTGTGGAAGGATGCGAAGCAGATGAATCCAGGCTTTGCAAAGAGCTTTGGGATCTTCCGCCATCAGAAGTACCATCTGAGCATAAGATCCTGTCATTATTATTGTTACACCCAAGGGAGTTATCAGCTAAAGGCCGTGATCCATCAGGGTTCGGTGCCTTTCACTCCTGCACTTCAAACGCCGGCGCAAGAGCAGGCATTTAATCGTCTCTGTTCCTCACTGCCACGTTTTCACTGGGGGAAAAAAAACCCGACACAGTGAAATCAGGCTAACACAGGGGTAACTCGAGGCACGCCATTCCGAAACGGGGACTGAAATCTATAAACTGTACTGAGAAAATCTGCAAAAATAAAACAATCAGGTACTGGGTTTAAAACCCTGACAGCCCACAGAGGAAAACAAGGAAGCATTCGCTTGGCTGCTTTCCCGTTTATCCGGGGCAAACATAAATAAATCAGGTAGAATCATAAAAAAGAAAAAAAACCCACCCACTGCAATGTACTCAGCAACAAAATGATGTCCACAGAATCCCACAGAAACCAAAAGAGCTGAATCATAAATCTACCTAGCAAAGACCTTGAGCAAAGAGAAAAAAAGCTAGACTCGAGGAAAAGAGGAATGGATCACAGCAGAGCTGCCCTCCACAGGTGCGCTGGCCTGATTCCGTCTGCTTTCAGGCTACCTGGTTCTAGTCAGCCAAAACTGCCAGAGAAAACTCACTGCTGACGGCCTCAGAAACAGGGAGACGCTGGCAGAGACCGGGGCGGGGGGAAGCACTGGACGGGCTCCCCGGGGACCCCGGCTGCCGACAGCAGCTCGCTGCCCTCGGTTCTTTTTACAGAACAACTCGGAGGCAAGGCTTCGCCATGAGGAGGAAGCCTTCGCGTGACACCCAGGTGTCGCAAAGGCAAGGCACAAGCTGTCCAGTCTATTGGGATATCAATTTTACTAAGCAAACCGGCGTGCTCTGGAGCAAATCAATCTATTCAACAGGCAGACCTGTAACCAAACAGCATGATTTTTCCATCAGCCTGATTCTGTTCCCAGCAGGGCTTCATTTAAGGCAAGGCAGAGGCGCTCGTTTAGCACGCCATGGAGAGGAAGAGAGTTTTATTCTTGCACTCCGACAATCCCAGCCACACTCATGAAAATGCAGCAACAGCAAATCGGGAATGGTGGCTACACACACACACGGGACAGAGGGAAGATTCTCCCAGCTCAGCAAGGAGCAGAGAGGAGGAGAGAGCAGCTCTGCCCTGACACTCTGCAGAATGTTTGGCGAGCCGTTCCGCCCCGGCTCTTCGGAAAGCACCCCCACATCTTGACTGACCGCTCCGGGGCTCCTCCTGCCACTGTCACGTTACACTGGGATCAGCAATATCATTAAACTCTCCGCTGTACAACGAAACGCCGCTGCCCCTTCCGACTGCGTGTTCACTGCTCTCAGCCGTGCAAGCAAGCACCCAAAGGCAAGCTTCATCCGTCTCCAGCACACCCTCCCACTTCTGCGTTCTCTCCCCAGAGTCTCCCAGATAAGCAAAGTCATTTTAGTTGTAATTTTATGTGCGTGTGCATGCGTATGTTTGCACATGCACAAAATTAATCCGCCCCCAAACTGCAACCCTTCAACTTTCATGGCAATGATGTACAGATTAATTTTTCTATCTTTCTCTCCTTCCCTTCGTTCTGTGCAGATACAGCTTTATTCAAAAAGCTCTGGTGATTAATTTTAATGGAAGTTATAAATGAGAGCTTTATACAATTGTATCATGCGTGAAGAGGATTACTTTTTCCAATGGATTATCATAAAAATGAAGTTGCTGAAAATGTGCTCTCAACTACCCAGAGATCACCTGTTCTGTCTGAGCTGCCAAATAAAGGAACAGAAGAAGGGAGCTTTCATCTCTGATGAAAGGAAAGGTCACAAGGTGTATCACTGTACTACTGCCAGGCACCATTTCATTTCAGTCTTGGCCCCTTCCAAGCCTCTGGCTCTCCTGCGAACGCAAGCCCACAGCTCTGCTCGCCTGAGTGCTCTTCCAGCAGCAGACGGGAGTGAAGTTCACTTGCTGCAGCAGTCTCTGGATGAGGCAGTCTCTGAGGCTTGTTTGGGAGGGGAGAGAAAAGGGAGTCTCATGTCTACTTCATCTTATAGAAGTCTTCACATTCTTCAGAATCTTTTACAGGAGAACGGGCAAAAAGAGGAGACTACAACTGGAAGTTGCCTGTGCAGGAATTAAACCGCTTTGGCGATGCTCCTTCTCCTGTGCTCACAGCAGAAACCATCCATTATTGAACCGTACTGGAGAGCAGAGATCATGGAGGGAATTTCTGCATTAAGTAAAAATAAAAATACTGGCCATATCTGTCTCCAGCATAAATCCATTGACTAAAAGCACCATAGAGCTCAACATGATTAAGAGCCTCCGCTGAAGAGATGACGAGTGCTGATGCAGCAAGGAAGCTACGGTGAAGATCAAAGGGCACTGACAATGAAGGAGCACGGGACCGGAACAGCAGCCGCTCTCGGGTCAGCACAGACGTGGGGCTGACGCCAGCTAACAAGCACTAGAAATGACGACGGGAGACCATGGGAGAAGCAGATTATTGTCGAACAGACCTTATGATCTATGTTTCTCCCCCTCAAGTCCCATCACTCAGCTAAAACTTTACTGGCCAATACACTCCCGTTTTCTGTCGAAGATGGCTTGGCTGGACTGACGTACGCAGGTACCCACAGAGCAGCACTGAAATGGCTTGGCAGGGCTTGGGCAAACTTCAGCGTGGGCAGAGTGGCTGAGCAGCAGGGATCACAGATAAAGTATCACAGAGCGGGAAACTGCCTGGATTCTGCCAGTGGCTGCACTAACTTTACGAGCCAAATGTTCTCAATATCATGCTTACCTAACTGCCAGACTCACATAACTTATAAACAAATTACATTTTGAACGGCCATTTTCCAACACGAAGGTGGCAACAGAACAGTCAGAGAAGTCAGAGAAGCAGGAGGAGAAAACAATCTTTGGTCTCTGCACAGACCAGATGTTTAGAAACCATCTGGAGTCTTTCCTTTGGGAGGATAATTACATTCTTTTATTATTAAAACAATAAAATGGTGCAATTAGAAGATGCAGGCGAAGTGCTGTGGTCTCGGTTTTCCAGCTGTCCACTCACATCCGGGGACCCTCACACCTGACTTTTCACTCTCACAAACACAACGGGACAGAGCTCATCCCTTTCACCGTTAATTTTCTCTGGCAGCACAAGTGGGAGATGAACCAAACCCATAACTGCCTTCTATTGTCCTTTCCTGGGATGTGGTCTTCCAAGGAAATTTATAGATACATCCTCATTTTAGGATTATGTCACTTGGACTCACGTTAAACATTTCTGGGAAATTCAACACTGATCTAGTGGAAAAATGTTTGTTTCTGAACACATCCCATTAATGACAGGGGTGAAAAGCACTTACATTGTACGAGCAGGGAAAGGCTCTTGGACGTTATTTTAGCACAGTAATACCACAGGCAGCAACGGCCAATAATCCAGCATCAGCACCCAGGACACAATAGCTGTTACAGGCACAGGCTGCCCAGGGCTAAAAAGCTTGAGAGAAAGGAGAAGCGATGCTGCTTCTGTCCAAGCTGCCAAGGAGATAAACCAGCGCTTGTTCCTTCATTTTGGACTCCCAAAGTGACAGGGCATTCTCTCTACTTGCCTTGTATAATTATTGATCTGCTTCTGGAAAAATAACCTGTACATGGAAAGAAAACCAAGCTATAATAACCTGGCCCAACTCACCCTATCGTGCAACCAGCTTCTGCCTCTATTGTCCAAATACAATTCAGGTTGTGATCGTAGGGTGTTGGGTAGCCGGGAGACAGTACCCGTCCTGACGACTCTCCTTTGATCGTACCCCCACACTCCGCTGAAAGAAACATATGGGTTGGTGAGAAGATTCACGATGTATTACAGTTCTTACTTGGCAACAATGCAAATCTCATCCTACGAATACAACAGGGTATTTCTTGCCATTTAAAGAGATTCTTCAAGCCTACAAAACAAAAAGAGTCATTTAAATCATCTAAAGACCGAGTTATCAGAGTAACTCTACACTTCAGCACGCATTCCTGACACCGGACATGCTGTCAAAGCTTCCCTACGCCTTTTGGCTCTGTAGTGAGCGAAGGCAGAGCCTCCCAGCATCCTGCTTTCCCTGATTCACACATGTGGGGTGAAAGAGGTCGATTCTGCTCGTGGCTGCAAAACGTCGTAACGATTCATCAGTGTGACAAAACGAAGAAGCCAACACACGTATGTACCTGCTAAATGAACCTCAAAAGAACGTGAGAATTTTGAATACGTTTTCGTAACATGTCCACTAAAATTCTTCAAGCTTTCACGTGCTCACAGACATGACCGTTCACATGTAATATACATATAGCAAATAGGGCAAAGGTTAAGAAGATGCATAAATCACAGAAATTTGTCTTTTTACCTCAATAATCTAGGCTAAAGTTCAGCAGAGAGTTACTACATAAAGAATGGTCCTAACTGATGGGAGAATACAGCCTGCCAACATCTGAGCACATCACCTCTGACCAGCCTGCCGGTTGTTGAGATGTCTCAGAGGACTCGGTCTGTAAGAACTTCACCGTGTCCTGGAAACATGAGTTAATTATGAAACTGTCAAGTAACAGAGCAACAGCACTTCACTTCGATACACAAAACACAGTATCAGAATTTTCAAAGCACGAAGACATCCTTCTGGAGAGCTAGAGGTGAAAGAGGACTCAGGACTTAGCTGAGAAAAGATTGAGGGCATTAAAACGTCTGAGGATGTGGGATCAGAAGCCATGTAGCTCTCAAATGAACATGACTCTGAACTGTCAAACGCCTGGACACATGTTGATGTCTGCCATAATCAGAAAGTGCCACTCTGTTTAACAGATTCAAGTGAAAGGACAAGGACTGCAAAAGCAGTAGTCTCCTTCAGTGAAGCAAGAAACCTTCTCAAAACTGTGCTCAGAGCACAGCGTTTCATGTTAAGGTTGCTTGTAGACATCTTGCAGAGACCAGTGCTCCCAATCTGAAGATGCCTTCCATAGTATCCTTCTCCTGGTCTTTGTTAACATAGGTAGGTGCAGTCAATATCAGAGTTAAGGTCACATGTATTAGCAAGGAGGAAGAAAGAGCATTCAGTGTGATGCCCACAAGCAAAGTACTTGCTAGAGGACGTTTCAAAAGCAAGAGCTGTCTCACCTACACAGGTTGGCAGGGGTTGATCCCAAGCTCTCCGCTCCCCTGTCAGGCAGACCAGCACCCGGCTGCCTCGCAGGGTATAGCCCGGGTCACAGCTAAAGGACACGGAGCTGCCAGCAAAGTGCCCCTCGTCATGGACCTTGTAGCCAAACTGTGGGATGCCAGGGTCCTCGCATTTAATGAGTTCAAAACCTGGAGCAGGAGAAACAGCATCTGTTTTCATCACATATTTAACAGCCAGGAGCTGTTACCACCAGATCATATGAATATTTTCTTCTTAAAATCTTTTGCTAGAGAGAAAAAAACACCATATTGAAAATTAATACTTTTTTTAATTAATATTTGAACGAGATCCCAGACACCTGGTATCTCAGCTTCAATCCAAAATTTCTGTATCACTGCTGCTTCAGTTGTAACAGGTTTGCTGGCAAAATCATCTCCCCCACTCCAAATCCTCTTTAAACTACAAGATCCTTAAGGAAAGGACTGCTTCCTCCAGTCATGCAACGGTAACAAAAATCTACCATCACACCTCAGACTCCCCCCTCACAAGGGTCTGGGCCTAAGACTTACTAGAAAACTGCAGCTCGAAGCCTTTGCTCGTGTTGTGGCCGTCGGTGATGAACTCCAGCCACATGCTGCTGGAAGTGCTGTTTATGCTGGTGCCGAGCATTTCGGCGCGGCTGAAGGAGCCCAGCAGGCGAGCAGAGCTATTGCTGCCGTCGTAGACCTGGGAGGAACAAGAAACAGATACTGGAAAACATCTTTTGTTTGCTACTTGAGGGACCAAATCATCCACGAGTGTGCACACAGACACAGTTCCCTCGAAGCCAGTGAAATTTTCCCAACTAAGAGTCTGACTTGACGAGACTCCACGGTGCCGCTCGTCTGCGGAGCAGGACTCACCCCCTGGAGGGTCCACAGCCCTCTCCTGACCCTCCAGCGTGTACTGCACTCAGGGCTGTGTTCTCTGAACCAAGCTCTCCTTCCACAGGTGCAGTGCAGCTACCGGGAAAAACGTTTCCTCCCCACAGTGACTCACAGAAGTGCTTTGACCCCGCTATTACTTAAGAAAAAAACAAACGTGGTTTTTTTTTCTTTCTTTCTTTCAGATAGCGTGATTCTCTCTGAGGGTAAAGAGCAGCTTCTCACTGGTGGAGATTGATAGCAACTTTCCTCAGCAGCAGATGAGAAGTTGATGACAAACCCGTTGAGAGAACATAATTTCTTTCACGAGTATATTCTTTGCATTAGCTGCAAATCTCTCTCTCTTTCCAGTCATTTGTGAGCTGACAATATGTGGATTACACCTATCTCGCAGTGCAGAAGTACGGCACTTAAATCAGGACAGCGTTCTCCGGGAAGATGGCTTAGCACAGCAGCACCCATCTTGTAATACTAACGCCGCCTACAAAACCATTTCTTTGTGGTTAATAGAAACTCAGCCTGGATTTGTCTCCTCCTATACAGAGCCCTGAAGCTTGTAAATGCAGATTAAGCTGAGTATGAGAATGCTGAAGAGCTTGAGTTTGGAGTTCTGCGTTTAAATAGACTCTTTTGGGGACAAATCAGCCTTGATTCTTAAAAAAAACACAAAAATAACTCTAAGAACCTCGCACTTCCTCATGTGCTAACAGTTTGCCCTCTGCAACTATGCAGATAAAAAGTGAAGTTTAGCTACAAAGGAAGAACCCCTGTCGTTCCAACAAATCTCTAAATCTCAGAGAAGACTTCACAGCAGAAGGTGAACTGATACAGCAAAGATAACTCTATTTTTAACGGATACAGAATTTGTTTACGCATCCATCTGCAGACTGAAGCCTCAAATTACCAGCTGGGCTGGAGTGCAAAGGACATTCACCATGGCCTGGGGGCTGCTGCCAGAGCCTGCGATGAGCTGAAGTCCGGAGGTGCTGCCTCGCTGAGAGGACACAGCCTGGTTTTAAGCACAGCAGACTAACGCGCAGCGGTGACACGTGCTGATCAGACAGTGTCCTCGGGCTGGAAGCTACTGTGTTACGGATGTATCTCGTGTCTTGCTCTAACCTCAGAGGGGATACACACAGGCGGTATTCTAGCCCAGCTGCCCTGCCTGAAGTTCAGTCTGGTCCATGGGAATCCCGCTGCTGTCTTCAAAACAGTCGCTTAAGAACCCAGCAGTGCCTATGGGTGACACCAGCCCTCTGCAGGGCTGCTGGGGGATGCCAGTCCAATTCCTAGCAGGAGACTCTTCCAGAGATCTCCACTGCGCTGTCAGCGCTGCCTGGGCAGCATTCTCCAGACCTAAGTCTCAGCCAACTCCATTAAAATTTTAGAACCTCACTTCCCTTTCAGTTCTTCCTCTCACTAGCAGCATGGTACTGCTTCATTGCTCCAGACAGAAGAATTACCTTGAGGACATCTCCTGCCTCCAGTTCAAAAGTCCTGGCTTTCAGCTGGATCCCCTTTCCTGGCTGGGTCTGGATGGAGTAGATGCACTCATGGTTGTTGTTATAGTTTATTGGATAGTTGGGGGACAGCAGGACACCTTGGGTTCCAGTTACAGATGAACCACATTCAGCTATATAAAGAGAAAAAACCATGTTTTAACAACCACACGTATATTCTAGCCATACAACACATGCAGGTGATTCCTCCACATGGCCGCAGATGCTCACCCCTTCCTACACCCATCTGCTAACACAGCCGGGGACTCTACTGCCAAGCGTAGTCAGTAAACCAAACAGTACTTACTAGCACTCCTATCATCATTAAACCTCAGGCGCCTTACAAGAGAGATTAATACCCTCTCCTTATACAGACAGGGAAACTGAGTCTCAGAAAGCTGGCGTGCTCAAATGCTATCTTGGGACCCATTTCAGAAGGACATTCCCAAATCCCTGGAAAGCCACCAGCTGTTCAAAACAGTGCCTGTGTTTATGCTCCTTCCTGATTCATGAACCAGAAGGAAAATAAAAACCATCTTATTAGATGGAAATATTTCAGGTCTTTTCCATATTTATACAAAGTTCCTCCTATACCCATACACAGCATATAAAAGTCATGGTATTCGCTCACCAGCCAGCACAGCACACCCCTGATCGCTGGCACCAACGTGCTGCGAGTGCCAGAGCGCTCTGTGCAGAAAGCTATGCTTAGTGACACTTCCAGACAGCTACAAATGATAAAGCTAAGTCTGAATTTCAAAATCTTCCCCAAAATAATTTCCTGAAAGCTGAAGAGGGCAAAATTTGACCTTCTCTGTTGTTAGTGCTGCCCTCAGCTCTCCAGTTCACCAGTTAACCAGTTTTTTAAAGGACCTTGTGGTCCCCTGCTCCCTGCTTTTTCCTTCTTCCCAGCTTTGTGGCTAACAATTACATCCGTTCCCACTAGGAAAAGAGAGAAAACGAGAGATGCTTATGCCCCTCCGCTTCAGAAGCTAGTCACTCAAAGAACGACAGTGGGCTCAGGTCTTTCTGTGGCACAGACAACATTGACCTTTCTTGTTCAGAAGGCACGGGGCTGGGGACAGCAGAGCAGAGCCTGACGTGGGTATCCCTGCACACCTCCTGCCCGGGGAACTGGAAGGGCAGGGAAAGGCACGGGGCTGGGGACAGCGGAGCAGAGCCTGACGTGGGCATCCCTGTACCCCTCCTGCCCGGGGAACTGGAAGGGCAGGGGTAGTTAATGCTACTGCAACTGTTTCCACCCTCCCCGAGATGAGTTTACGTCCTAAGACAGGTTATAAACGGACAAGATTTCAGAAAGAAGGAAATCAGGGAATAAAGAAAGAGTCAGTCCTTTCCCTGTTGTTATTCACTACGACCTGCAGTCCGTCCCTGCTCCATTACATTCTGCTAGTGAGACTTCTCTGCTCCTTCACCAGACCTGCTTCCTTTTCTACTCTGCATAGTGTGAAAAGCATTTGATTTTGAGCCCGATTTGAATTCAGAAGATTTGTGTGACTCAAAACTTGGCAGAATGATCCTCTTCAGAGAACGAAGAGGATGGCACTTTGGAAGGTTTGATCTGTCTCGGATGCCAAGAGATCACAGTTTAATGCTTCTGGAAACCAGCAACAACCATCCCTCACCTCTGTATTTTACGTATTTCAACTGCAAGCTTTTAAGGACACAATCTCTCTCTCATACGAACCTGCCACAGTGCAAGAGGACTGCTATGGGCACGGCTTCACTACACGAAGCAGTGAGCAGACCCCGGAGCGCGTCTGAGCGCGAGGCGCAGCACGGCTGTGACTGCACCGAGCTCTGCCAGAGCTCCCCGGACAAGGCAAAAACACGCTCTCACCTGCTGTCATCACGGGGAGGAAGCAAAAGCCCACAGCACTCCCAGCCAGCTGGAGGGCCCACCTGTAGAACGGCATCCATGGGATGCCCTCCTCCGAGGACGCCTGCTGCCGGGAGCTGCTGTCTCATCCGAGCGCCCGGCTTCAGCCAGGACCATCGCAGCTGCTTTGCTACACACACAATCCCCCAACACCTGTAAACCTGCCTTGCAGCCACCTTGTGTTGAGGGTTTTTTGTTACTCCCTGATTAGCTCCCACATGAACAAACCAGAAGTCGTCATTTTCTTGGCCTATTCACTCTGAAATATTTTCAGCTGTAAAGCGCTGGCTCCCGGTTCCTTTGCGTCCCGGTGTTCTGCACGCACGGCTGGGGAGAGTCACTCCAACTCACCCTGAAAACAGCTTTTCTGCTCAGCTACCTCTGCCTCGTCTTCACCAGCCCTTCACAGCACGCAGCCTCAGTTGAGCTGGGGGAAACCATCGGGTGGCAGG